TAGCGCGAAAACCCATACTACGGATATATTCTAGCAGCTTCTACAACACTGTTCGCAATACCGTTCTACGCAACTCGATTACTCAAAGTTTTTTCTCCATCAATGGCTGCAGTGAAAGGATTGTACGGATCGATAGATGAGTTCTTGAAGCACTGTTCACAGTCAGGTGACTCTGCCTACAGTGCATTCAGATCACTTTTAGAGCGCCTCGAGGATCCGAAGACCCGAACCGAAGCCCGGATCTTCTTTGCACATCTCAAGAACAAGCTCGAAAGCGATGGAGCTTCCAATCAGTGTCTGGATACTTACCATTTCCAAATACAAGACGTATATCTCGGACAAAATGAAGGTCCTATCTGTCTCCTACATATGTACCCAATTCGAAGTTGTGGATGTTTGTTAATTGTTACCATCTATGGTTTTTTTTCCCTTTCCCCCTTTTTGACTGAAATCTGCAATTAAGGTTTGCAAAGAGAAACAATGGTTATTTGCATAGCTTTACTCTCGCTTTCTTTTTTCTTCCTTTTTATGCCATATTTGTTGAAATTTGTGTTTATACATCATTTCTCGCAGAAGACGAAATGTTGCTTTCCCTTCTTACTTTTTATTTTTTTCCCTACCTGATTTAGGTTATCAGAAGAGAAACAAGCTGACTATGATGGTGATCCCCAGCATCTTTATGCCAGAGGACTGGTCCTTTACGTTCTATGAGGGGCTGAATAGACATCCCGACACTATCTTCAAAGACAAAATAGTTGCTGAACTTGGTTGTGGAAATGGATGGATATCTATAGCAATTGCTGAGAGATGGTTACCATCGAAGGTAATGAGTCAATCCATAGTAATGAAATGCTGATTGAAATACGGTAATGAAGATTTCTAAAAAAAATGTCAAAATACAGGTTTATGGCCTCGATATAAATCCAAGAGCAGTGAAGATTTCCTGGATAAACTTGTATTTAAATGCTTTGGATGAGAATGGAGAGCCTATTTATGACCACGAGAAGAAAACTTTGCTCGACAGAGTGGAGTTTTATGAATCTGATCTGCTATCTTATTGCAGAGATAATCACATAGAGCTTGAGCGAATTGTTGGATGTATACCACAGGTCTGGTTATGAAATCAGCTACTCTTGTTTTTCATCTTGCGCACACGGTTAGGGATGCATACAAGATTATGTTTTCAATTCTCTTCATTGTCTTGTAGATTCTCAACCCAAATCCGGATGCAATGTCCAAGCTTATCACAGAAAACGCAAGTGAAGAGTTTCTATATTCATTAAGCAACTACTGTGCACTACAGGGTTTTGTTGAGGATCAATTTGGGTTAGGTCTAATTGCTAGGGCAGTTGAAGAAGGAATTGAAGTGATGAAACCAATGGGAATCATGATTTTCAATATTGGAGGTCGACCAGGGCAAGCTGTTTGTAAAAGGTTATTTCAAAGGCGTGGTCTCATTGTGACACAGCTATGGCAGACTAAAATTCTTCAGGCTTCTGACACTGACATTTCGGCTTTAGTTGAAATTGAGAAGAATAATCCACATCGTTTTGAGTTTTTCATGGGACTTGTTGGGGATCAACCAATTTGTGCTAGAACTGCATGGGCTTTTGGGAAGGCTGGTGGACGTATTTCTCATGCTTTGTCAGTTTACAGCTGTCAGCTTCGACAACCGAATCAGGTCCTCCTTAATTTATAGAGCTAAATGCAAGAAATAGCTGATGGGAATACTACTCACTGAAAATTGATTGAATACTAAACCAACTAAACTGACAGGTTAAAAAAATATTTGAGTTTCTGAAAAACGGGTTTCAAGATATCAGCAATTCCTTGGATTTATCATTTGAAGACGATTCTGTTGCTGATGAGAAGATACCTTTCCTAGCATATCTTGCTAGTGTTTTGAAAGACGATTCACACTTCCCGTATGAGCCTCCATCTGGAAGTAAAAGGTTCCGGAATCTTATTGCAGGCTTCATGAAAACATACCACCATGTACCAATCACCGCTGATGTAAGAGCTCTTCCTTCCCTTTTTAAAAAGAGTAAAATAAAATGCTTTTTTCCTTTTTTTACATCTTTTTGTGAGAAATAACTTGCATTCCTGACTTGTTTATTGTTAACCTTGTTGCAAGAATGTTGTTGTGTTTCCTTCACGAGCTACAGCAATTGAGAATGCTCTGCAGTTGTTTACCCCACGTCTTGCCATTGTTGATGATCATCTTAGCAGACACCTACCCAGGCAATGGTTAACCTCACTTCAGATGGAGGTATAAATATAGTAATAACTTTTAAACATTTACTTCAATATATAATAACAATTTTAATATGTCTTGATTTAAATTTCAGCATAACGAGAATGATAATTCGTGTGCAAGTGGAATTACAGTTATAGAAGCACCACGCCAATCAGATTTAATGATAGAGCTGATAAAGAAGTTAAGGCCACAAGTTGTGGTTACTGGGATGGCTGAGTTTGAGGCTGTGACTAGTTCTGCTTTTGAACATATTTTAATGACTACAATGGAAATTGGAGCTCGTCTTTTTATAGATATATCTGATCAGTTTGAGCTTTCTAGCCTCCCCAGTTCTAATGGGGTCCTCAAATATCTTGCTAGAACTCCATTGCCTCCTCATGCAGCTATTATTTGTGGATTATTGAAAAATCAGGTAATTTGCAGTCTCTGTGCTTGTGTTTGGCTAATTATTCTATTGTAATGTACTGAAATTTGTTTTCCAGGTTTATAAAGATCTTGAAGTAGCTTTTGTGATATCAGAAGAGCCAACCATTTGTAAGGCATTGTCTAAGAGTGTGGAGCTACTACAGGGAAATATCGCACTAATTAGCCAATACTATTATGGTTGTCTTTTCAATGAGCTTCTCTCATTCCAGCTTCCTGATCGACATCCACCTGCAGAGGTTACTTCTTTCACTTAATTATGTCTTGTATGTAAAGCTTTAAGCTCTTTTAGATGTCTCTACGTATATCTAGATTTGATTCCTATTATGATGATTATTTTTTTTAGAGGGAATCCAATGATGCAAAATCCAGTGAAATGATCGGCTTTTCAACCTCAGCAATCTCGGTTCTTACCAACTCGGAATTCTCAATAACAGAAACCGAAAACTCTCCCCTGATCCACATGGACGTGGACCAAATCTTTCTCCCCACTCCAACTCCCGTAAAATCCGCCATTTTCGAAAGCTTCGCAAGACAAAACGTAACAGAATCCGAATGCGACACAACACCCAGCCTCAAAACATTCATCAAAACCACATACGGTTTTTCCACCAATCACAATTCAGAATTCATATACGCAGACTGCCCACAAGCCATTTTCACCAAATTAGTCCTTACATGCATTCAAGAAAACGCCACTCTCTGTTTGCCAACGGGATCAAACGGGAATTACATTTCCGTTGCCAAATTTCTAAACGCAAAAATCATGCCAGTTGTCACCAAACCCGAAAACCATTTCAAAATGACCCAAGATCAACTCAGTGGTGTATTGGAAAACGTGAGTAAACCATGGGTTTATATTGCAGGGCCCACGGTAAACCCGACCGGTTTGATCTACAGCAATGAGGAAATCGGAAATTTGCTGACTGTTTGTGCGAAATACGGGGCCCGGGTTATAATTGATACTTCGTTCTCTGGTGTGGAGTTTGAACAGAATTATGGGTTGAACGAGTGGGATTTGGATGGGAGTTTGGTGAAATTGATTTCGGGAAAACCGAGTTTTAATGTGTGTTTGCTTGGAGGGTTGTTTTTTAAGATGGTTAGTGGAGGGATTACGTTTGGGTTTTTGGTTGTAGATCGGAGGTTTTGGGGTGATGGGATTTATAATTTTTCAGGGTTGAGTAAACCGCATAGCACTATTAGATATACTGCAAAAAAGTTGCTGGATCTTAGAGAGCAGAAAGCAGGAGATCTTTTGGATGCTACTCAAGGACAGTGGAAGTTGCTGTCTGGAAGATTTATACAGCTGAAAGAGGTAACATTTTACTTTGAAAGTTATACTTCAAATTTGTTAGCTCTCACTCTGTCTTCTTTTTTACGTATGATGGTTAGACACTGGAGGGGTGTGGTTGGGAGGTAGTTGAAGCTTGTGGTGGGGTTTCCATAGTTGCAAAGCCATCTGCTTACATAGGAAAAAAATTGGAGCTGAATCAACACAATTCTTCTTGCTCTTGGAAAGCCGTTTTGAATAACTCGAATATCAGAGAAGCAATGGTTAGAGCCACTGGTCTGTGCATCAATGGTCCTTCATGGACTGGAATCCCGGGCTATTTTCGGTTCACGTTAGCACTACAAGACTCCTATTTTACTCGGGCTTTAGAATGCATCATCAAGTTCAATGAACTTGTCAAGTAAGTCAAGAAATCGTTTCAAAGTGTTTTTTTTTTGTTACTACTTTCATGTTATATATTCTACTTTACTAACAAATCACTTATAATATTTTGTTGTTTTTTTTACAAGTTTTATCACCATTGGGGGCTCTTATTCCTTTATTTGTTTTAGTTTTTAACTTTTATAGATCAATGGCGGCGGCAGACATTATGTGGGAACACAAACGTGACTGGGGCCTGGGGGTGGGGTTTTACAAGTCAAAGTTGGAAAAATAATTTGTGTATTTTGGACGGAAACTGGAAATTCAATTTATAATATTATCCGCTTGTCATGGATTACGATTAATTTTCTCTAAATATAATCTTTTTATAATTTAAATGTATATGTATGACTATGTGGTACTAAAGATAGATCTCGTTCACATATTAGGCACCATACCTATCCAAAAGAATAATATATCCGCAAAACAGATAAGATTTGGATTCTAGTCAAGGTTGGCAATAAGTTGGCATATGATAAGTTCTACGGAACAAGCTTGGAATTCAAAATATTACAAAAATAGATAATTGAAAAAAGTTAAAGTATTGAAGTATTATTATTATTTTATGGGTTTTGCTATTAACACCTACAATTTTAATCGGCTATCGCTGGTTAATGTTTTTTTTACACGGTTTGCTATTAAACCTTCATGAACCGAAATCGTGGGCTATTTATGGTTCTCGTTAGCACTCCAAGACATATTTTAAGCAAGATTTAGATTGCATCACCAAGTTAAGTGAACATGTCCCAAATCGTTTGAATGTTTTTACAAGTTTCATGTTATATGTCACATTTACAACTTCGGTACAAAACAAAACACTTCCAATTTTGATAATAATACTAGATAGGTCTAATTTCGATTCCCTCAACTAGAAGCCCTCCTTTTAAATGGACACCTTCAATCTCTTTCAACCTCATTATAACATCTTTTTCATGTATTCCATAGTTGTAAAATTCTCCCAATTCTATCTCCAACCATCCGTCATTTCGTTCATGATAAGCCCTACAAATATTTTCTCCAAATTTTGAGCTTGATCCTTGTTTGGGAGACAAGATTATTGTCCCTTGCGAATGGAATTTGCCCACTTCCAATGAAACCTCGGATGGTAAAATGTCTAAACCATATGCACGATGAGATGCCATATTGACAATGATGTAGGCTCGATATTGGGTATTTGGTGATAAAAGTTTGGTGTTTATTTTTCCTTCTATTTCAAGCCAACTTGTCATTCTAAGCTCCACGGCTTCAGCAAATCTATTAAAAGTTTCATATTTAGTCAATAAATACAATTAGCATCATCATATAATCTTATATAATATGTAATAACTGAAAAATGATCAAAATAGGTGTCTAATGAGTAATGACTACATATTATATCACTAAGTAACCACCAATTTCTCATAAAAGGGTTCTCCTGACTTTTGACAGTAAGTTTTCAAAATTTTAAGGATTTTGTTGTAAGTAACTTATATAAAACAATTTATCAAAAAGGTGTAGAGATAGATATGATTATTTTATATCAAATGTATAAAAATGAGCATTTTTGGTGATTACTAGATGTATATTGTACATCACCTTGATTGTAGAATGGGTTTCCAACACCAAAAGAGAGGATTGTCTGACCAAGCGATGTTGAGATCTCTTGCGCTTAACATGTAACATCTTTTACCTGTCGCTTTGTCTATCGAGAATGTCTACAATCCAAAACCACGAGTGTTAGATCAACAATCAATGGATAAAGAAAAATATTTGTGGCAAATAAGATTTTTAATTGTTAAGCAATGCAATCAAAGATAAGCAAGAATACATGACACCATAATCTATGTGGTTCGGCTAAAGAGTTTTGAATTACGTCCAAGAACATGAACCACAAATATCTTATATTATTCAACTGTTAACTGAAAATCTTTGTAATTATTGGGCCGAACCCATATACAAGTAAATCTGAAAGAACTAAACGTGTCCCACTTATCCCGTTGATTTCGCAATTCGGGTTTGTCCACTTTGTTTTGGGTCGGATCATAAATTCATTCGGACCCCCAAGATCCACATCAAACTCTAATATTAATCATTAAATCAATTGCATTCTACAAAATTTGCTTTCTTGTGAGTAACTTGGTATAAAGAATAGATGAGCCATCACAATGAATGTTAACTTTACACCCATAAAACAAAAAAAAAACGATTACTATCCGACCAACAAAAGAGAAAACATTTGATAAAATGATTATAAGCTAATTAATTACCTTCATGCCACCATCAATCAAAAGGGGACTTGAAAGCTTGAAGAATAGATCCCTCTTGGATTTATACTTCACAGGACACACACATCTCGATATGATTTCTTGGTAATCAGATGGCAAAAACTCATCCCACAAAACATCCGATTCTGCAGCGTCCCTAACCACCGAAGAGACAACTGCAAACCGACAAGCATCCCGAGGGGACCCACGAGAGAGGATGTGTACTACGCAATCATGGGGCAAATCCTTCATGTTCTTTCTAAGTGAACAACAACATATATATGATGATATATGAATACATATTTATGTATATCTGCATATGCGTGTTTCATATGAGTGCATCCTTACCTTGACCAATGGGCTTTGCATTAATCTTGGCGGCTCTTTTCCTTTTCTGTTGTTTTTATAGATCAATGATTACGATCCCGCCGGGACAATACACGTGGGAGTAGTTAAGTTTGGTAAACTAGTTTTATATGATCGATTTAAAGAAGAAACCTACGTTTAAAGCAAATTTTATACTATCCACTTGTAATGGATCTCATTCACATGGGAACCATAGCTCTCCAAAGAAGAATATAAAAGCGAAACATATAAGATTTGGACTGTAGTCAAGGCGGGTGACATATCAATTCTGACGTCTCAATTAGGTATTCAATAAAGAAAAACGATACGTAACTACCTATAATAATACTAACAAGTTGCGGCCATACCTACTAACACAATTTGAGAAACGAGAATTAAGGAAAAGCATGGGATGTTTTTGGGAATGAGGTTCAGTGGAGAATAATAAAAATGTTGGGAATGTAAGAATAAATATTGGCTACCCATCTTAGAATGCTATGTTTATAGAAAAATAAAATTCAAATATATCAAAATTTATAATGTTTTATTCTCTATTAATCCATATTCATATTGATATATGTCAATTTATTTTTATTTTTTAAAATTAGCACTCATCATACGCTTTATTTACATGTAAATAAACCGTGTATATTCATGGTTTATTATATCCACAGTATATTCACATGTTAATAAAGAATGAGTTTTATATAAATTTGATAAACATTTTATTCATATATAAATAAAACATATGATGAGAGATGAAATAAAATAGAAAAAAAGTTATATAAAAACTATTATGTTGAAATTAGTGTTGTCGGCAAACTAAACATGAGATTATTTGTTAAATGGTTGGTATAAGAGTTGAATTAATTTGTTATTGTGAGATAAATAAATTATTTTTGTTTATTAATTTAAACTATATTTGGTAAAGAATTGTTGTCAAAGGGTGTAAAGTGTATAGGTTATGAAACTTCAATCGAATTCTCGCGGGTTTGTCGCCCTGATCTGACCCGAAGTTCAGCTAGGAGTATTTAATGTTGACATGAGACTCATTTGGTGACATGAAATTAGGGTTTCTCTCATATTTCTCTCTTTAGTTCTCCTCTTGAGCGTTACCTACATGTTATCTTTTCTAGATTAGGGTTCTTAGCTCTTACACTCATATTTGAGAGTAGATTAGATTTAGAGTTGTAGTAAGGTTGAATGTAAAAAGTTAGAGAGTTTTATGTAGTGAGGTTTCCTCGTCTGTTCATTAAAACCAATCGGTTCTTGATTTAATAATAGAGTTGTTGATGCTGTGATAAGTTTTTGTTCATTTATGGTATCAAACCCACACGATTTTGCATAAGATCCAATGAAGGCATCACTTGTGGTTTGTTGTTGGTTTACGGTTCTATTGCTTTGATCTGATAAATCTGAGGTGTGTAGGCAAGTTACACAGGATGTAAAAAGCTTCAAACTTGCTCATTGGTTCCATAGATCTTGTTAATTGTCATATTTGTCACTTTTTGCTCCCTTGAGCTTGTGTTTTGGGAGTTGAGGCAACTCTATCACCTTTTGATCTATATGGAACACTCTTGGGACTTATTGGACTTGGAAAATTGTTCTTTGGTGCTTGTTCATTAAGCCATGCAATTTGTGTTAGCATTTTTTTGTCATTTTAGTGCATAAAGTTTGGATTTTGAAAGTTTGTGATCTTGTTATGAATAAAGTTGGAAACTTTATACATCTAAACATCATATTGGTTTAGATCTAAAGGTTGGAGACTTGGACTTAATGGATTAGTGTGACAACCGTCAAATTCTGGTCAATTCAAAGTCAAATAAAGTCAACGAGTCAAACCGGTCAGCTCAACTAACCTTGTGTATTAGGTCGATGAATCGATAAAGCAAGAACATATGAGTTTTTGATTCGCATTTGGATTGATGATTGAGGGATGATTCGTGAAGAAAAACGCGAAGTCAAGGACTATGAAATTGTTGGTTGCAAGAATTTAAAAACTCGATTGTGGAGTTGTTGATGCTCATTTTGCGAAAGTAAAACAATCGAGTGTTCGCATCTATGAATCAATTTGAAGTCAATTGGGTTAATATTCGCATATGGGTTCAACATATGAAAATTTTGATTTCGCAAGTTTAGAGTTCAAGAACTAAACTGTGTTCGCATCTGGAATGAAAAATTTTGTGAATCGCATTTGATTAATTAGGTTAAAATGCGAAGGGATGCGAAGGGTGTAAGAATGAAAATGCGAAGGTTAAAATGCGAAGGATGCGAAGGGTGTAAGAATGAAAATGCGAAGGTGATTAATGCGAAGGGATGCGAAGGGTGTAAGAATGAAAATGCGAAGGTGATTAATGCGAAGGGATGCGAAGGGTGTAAGAATGAAAATGCGAAAGTGATTAATGCGAAGGGATGCGAAGGGTGTAAGAATGAAAATGCGAAGGTGATTAATGCGAAGGGATGCGAATGGTGTAAGAATGAAAATGCGAAGGTGATTAATGCGAAAGGATGCGAAGGGTGTAAGAATGAAAATGCGAAGGTGATTAATGCGAAGGGATGCGAAGGGTGTAAGAATGAAGATGCGAAGTATTTCACAGTAGAATGCGAATTGGGGAAGAAAACAGAAGATTTCAAATATTGTCCCTGGAGTTTCGCATTTTTGGAAATAAATACTCAACTTCGCAAATGGGGGTCATAAAATGATGAAATTGCAGAATTTTTAAAGAGATACACACACATAGACAACCACACATATATTTAGAAAATTAGACTATTATAAGACATTGTTCGTGACTTTTGAGTCCAAAGACGTATGATCACAAGCAACCACCCCACACCCACTCTATGACCAGCCATACCTCCCCACCTTACCTATGTCACTTCAATGTTCCCTTACACTCAAATTTCACTCACTCCCACGTTTTTGAGCTGGAACAATCAACCACACTCCTCATTTTCTCTCATTTCTCTTATTCCACTAAGTAACAAACATCACTTTTTCTCTCAAACTCTTCTACACAAATTTTCGAGATCCAAGGCTGGATTCAAGTGTTCTTCCACACTTAGTAAGTAAAAATTCATCCTCCCTATTATTATTTCACTTCATTCTACTCAAATCTTTGGTTGCTTACACAAACTCCCTAACTATGATGTTAGATTCTCGAAAACCTTCAAGGCATCTCCAAGTGTTCTTGAATTAAACACTTCCATTCTTCAACAATCATCTACTGAAATCACTCAAGGTGAGTTCATACCCCTACATTTTCATGTTTTCTCAAGTTTTCAGGGGGGGAATACAAGTTAAAACACTAAGAACATAACTAGATTTTTCTAACAGCCTTCATCAGAAAAGTTCAACTCCATTCACGGACTGTTTTGGGCATCTTAAACATTTTTGTTTTCAAAACTGTACAAGGTGCAAATAGTTTAAGTTTTTAGCTTTAAAATGACTACTTGCACATCTCCATACGATTTTTCTACAATTTATGGTAATTTTTACAAAACTGCCTATCACTTCAAACAACAATCCGGACCAGTCTGTGATTATGGACTTTTTCACCCAAGTTAGAGGTCATTATAAATTGTGATAAAATTATGAGCAAACTAGACACATTTTGTGAACTCTCAGAATTTACGGATCTAGTTTTCGACTTCGTATGATTTTTCTATGATTTTTCCAAAACAGGGCAGAATGGCTAAAGTTAGCCAACAACATGTAAATATCATAACACTTTGTATTATGTTGAGCAAAGTGTATAATCATAAGTTTTAATGTTTGAATGTGTTTCCTAGTTAGTTTATCATTATGAACTGAAACTAAGACATTCATATTAAATATTATCCATTCATTTTGGAACACGTATTATTTAACTATAAAAAGTATAGTTTGAATATATTTATAACACTAATACATTTTCCATAAAAGGATTCATACATATTATACACATTTTAGATAAACTATAATAGGTATAGTTTATGATACATCACTCTACGCACTCGTACCAGAAGTGTACATTCATATAAGAAAGATTTCTATTCGCACACATTTCACGTAAGTTAATCTATGGTTTGATAAATTCACAACACTAATACATCTCCATAAAAGGATTCATACATATTACATACATTTTAGATAAACTATAATAGGTATAGTTTATGATACATCACTCTGCGCACTCGTACAAGAAAGGTGCATTCATACAAGAAATATTTATATTCACAAACATTTAACGTAAACTTGTTATCCTATATTGTGAGTTTCTCTATTTTTTTTCGATCTCTATCTCTCTATCTCCCCGTACGTCCGAGTGCGGGATATAATTCCTGGTAGTTATAATCAGAATCTCCTTGAGGGAGAACGTGATACTTGTATATAGATCTATATTGGGATTGACACCCCACACCTTGCTGCTAGCTACAGTTGGACCTGCAGGTCTAGGGTGACAAATGTCATTTCATTTTTCGCGACACTGAGAACGTCGTGGCAGGTTCACATAGTCATAGTATGATTATAACGGCTCACATAGGGAACAATCCATAAGTTTACGGGATTTTATTTTTAAAACCTAAATGAGTTTTATGTCGATTTAAAATCACCTTTTATCTCTATGGGTACAAATACAAAGTGTCGGGTCTCTATACAAAGCTATTATGATATTAAAACTACACTTCCTCTAAAATTGTTAGACTTCAACTATAGTCGCTGAGCGTATATGTTGAGTCATATAAGAATTTAGTCTTGATTGGCCTAGAATTGGTGGTGCCCGCCTCATCTCCTGTTCCTCGTTGGGTTGTGGACCTAGGGCAGACCCACTATATTCAACGTTTTATCTAAGTTAAGCCTTATATAACTTTATATGTTGGACGATTATAGAGGAACTCTACGGATTACTCTAGGGTTCATTACAGCATCATGTAGGATTATTTCTATTCATACTTAACTAAGAAAATATTGGATTTTCTGGAAATCAAACTAAATCGATTTTACAAGGAAAAACGGTTTCTACTTCAAACAAAACTCTTATGAACTCACCAACCTTTGTGTTGACACTCTTTTTAAAACTACTTGTATTCTCAGGAAATCAGTGAAACAGGAAAACTTCATCGCTTTGAGGATGGGACGCTAAACCGTCAACAAATTATTTTGTCATCATAATGTAATTGCTTTTGAAACATGTAAACATATACTTTGGTGTAACTTTTGCAATTATATATATGGTGGTTGTTTTTACTTTGAGCACTATTATACACGTTGTTGTGATACTATACATGAAGTCCTCCACCCCCAGACGTTTCCGCCATCCTTGGTTTGGGGGTGTGACAGATTGGTATCAGAGCATTGTTTATAGTGAACTAAGTATATCGAACCACATAAGATATACAAACTATAAATGCATTGGGACTAAGGTC